TTTTGGTTTTTCTCCGGTACCGGGAACCGAACTCATGACCTTGCTCTTGCCAGGCAGGCACTTTGCCACTGAGCTAAATCCCCAGCCCTTGGCCTGATGTTTTGATTTGGATGTTTCTCCCCAAATTTCATGTTTTAGAAATTTAATCTCTAATGTAACAGTATTAAGGGGCAAAGCCTTTAGGAAGTAATGACCTTATGAGGGCATGAATGGATTAAAGGCATTATTGGAAGAATGGGTTGGTTACAACAAGAGTAGGTTCTGATAAAAGAATGAATCCATCCTCCTTCCCTTAATTTCCAAAGAGGCCTCTCTTGCCTTTCCACCTTATGCCATAAAATGACATAGCAAGAAAGCCATTGCTAGATGCAGGTCACTTGACCTGGGGCTTCCCATCCTTTCAAATTGTAAGAGATGCATCTTGGTTCTTTATAGATTACATGATCTCAGTTATCCTGCTGTAGCAGCATAAAATGAACCAAGACACCCAATAACTTTATATTTTGACAAGGGTACTGGTAATAATTATAATAGCCAATGCCTACTGAATAGTTTTTTTGTGCATGTTAGTTTTCCCTTAATCTCTCTAAACTTTTTTCTAGTAATCATTATTATTTGTCCCTTTTAAAAAATCAAGAAGTGGAGGCCCGTAAAAGCCAGGGCTGAGCTTTGGCCACCACACTGCCTACCAGTGTCTGAGCGGGTGTCTGTTGGAGGCGGTCTGACTCAGGGTTGGGCTGTTCTCACTGTGCCTGAAATGCTGAAGAAATCTGATCAGGTCAGCTGGCATCAGGCAGAACTTTGTGATTTGATGTGAGAACCTCACCAAGCTAAGCAGTGGAATATTCTTCTTACCCCAGAGAGCTGCTGAACAGTAAGGGAAGATAAGAATTCTGGCAAATCCCAGTGAGGCACGTGGGCATTTGGGAATCAGACTAGAGTATAGCTGGGACACAAGTAGTCTGTCTGTCAGCGGGTATCTTCTAGTTTAGTTTTGATCAACACTGCATCTATCTGTCAAGTGTCATTGCTAGGGGTAGAACTGACAAGAAAACATCTTTGTTGGCACAAAAGACATCAACAGAATCCCCTTCACAAGGAGCACGCTCATCCAGGCCTCTGTGCCTGGTGAGTCTTGACATTTGCTACCAAAGAGAACATGTCCTGTGTTCTGGACATTTGATTTGAAGTGCAAACAACATGGTAAAGGTTTTACAGTGTGATCTGATCCTTTAATTTTCTATGGTCTTGGATTCTTCACCCACAGTTGCTGTGTGAGAGATTATAAACCCAGGAAACTGTTGCTGGGGGCCACTTCTTGGTATCAGAGGCAACAGTAGATAGAGCTTCACCCTTTCTTTTATTTCCTGCATGGGTGTCTTGTACTCACTTTTCTCTGTCCCTAAGGAATCATAGAACTGAAAAGACTGTTCCCATTTGACATTTCTTTACCTATGTGACCTATCTGTTACTCCTTTTCCACCCACTGTGACTTTGTTGCCCACAACCAAAGAGCAAGGTCAAGGAGATTTCTTGTGCCTGTGGTATGCATTAAAGTGGAAGAAGATGATAGGAAGGAAGAGGTCATTTAATATTCTAACTCATTATGTACTTCAAAAACTGGATTTACCAGCCAGTTGCACATTGTTTGTTCTTCATGGTTACCAAATCAGCAATAGTTAAAAAAAAGAAAGCATATGCCCTACCACACCTATGAGAGGCTCTTGAAAGAATCAGAATGATGAAAGCAACCACTGAGAATAAAGTTTCCAGACCAATCATAAACTTCAATAATTACCTAGCCACTCGACCTTGCCAGCATATGTATACTAGGAAATGGCTTTCAGGTCTTGCACACTTCTGCAAAGAATGGAAAGTGAAACTCAAATAAGTGCTCACTATTACTTAATTAAAATGACCAACACATCTATGTTTTTTTTTCTCTCTCCAGCCAAGAAACACCTTTGGACAACTTTTCTGTGGCTCATTAGATATTTTTGGAATCCTATGTGTTGGCCTGTACCGCATGATAGATGATGAGGATCACAACCCAGAACACAAAAGGGGAGTATTTTAGTCTGCAAAGAGTTAGAGACCCATCTAAGAATAAGAGACAGACTACTTTATTCATTGTGAACGTGAAGTCCAGTGCTTAAGGTCTCCAGTGACCTGGGAGGATGCAGGGGAAATAGTTAATACTGTATAAGAATAAGAGAAAATGGTTATAAACAACAGGAACTTGATGGGTTAAGGTCCAATTAATATCAGCTTTGGAAGGAGAATGAAGTTTTTGCCCACAATAAAAACTGAGCCAGGTTTAAATAAGCATTAGAGTCACTGCCATATTAGAAAGGTTTACACACATTGTCGTTGGGAAGATATTTACTGAGTGCTTCTTTCTAGTCACTGTATATTTTACTCATAAATCATGGAAGTATTGTGTGGATTTCTGTTTCATTAAAGGAAGATCTTTTTTCCAGAAGTGTGGAAGGTAGAGTAAATATGTGTGGCATCAACACAGTTGTGTAGGTCTGAGCCAAGATCCTCACTGTGGAAATGGGCAGCAATCAGTACAGATGGAGAAATTTTACATAATAAAAATAGGTTACTGAAATCCACTGTAGCAGAAAGTGGAAGGAAGCCAATTTACTTAATGTGGAGTGGTCTTGATTACAAGGAACAAAAGAAAAACAATTTATCTGCTCACAGTAGAAAAGGAGAAGGACAGACACTAGGGCAGATGTAGCTCTAGGTGAGAGGTGCCTTTAGGGGCATTTTTATTTAGCCCTAAGATTTCTCAGTGCATGGCCTTTGCTGAGAAAGAAGATGGGAGAAGTAGTATAGCAAGATGAGAACAGGTGAATTTTAGATGACCTGCTGAGAGAGGTGGAAAGAAAGATGCCTGTGGATTTATAAAACAACACTAGCCCATAAAGTGAAAACGCAAAGGACTTGAAATCGGAATGCAGTTAAAGAAGAGATGAGATATACTGAGTAAGAGAGTGAGAGAGAAATAATGACGGGAAGCTAGGGGTGGAGACTAGTTTATTGAAGGTTAAGATGTCTGAGGTAGGAAAGAATCAGGAAATTATAATAATGGGATGTGCCAAGAAAGTGGCTTGGAGATAAAAGCCACTGGGTAATGGAGGTTATAGAAATGTGTCTGGATGTTGGAGCTGTAAACCACACAGACACCGCAGGCATGTAAGGTGATGCTGGTATTAAAATGTTAAAGAAAGTGTATCCCAAGTGCCAAGGACCTGAACAAAAATGGAGGTGTACAGATTGCACTGTTGAATCAGTAGGGAAGGTGATATAGCTTCACATAATTCACCACAGAGACTGAGAAGGAAGAGAGATGCTTTGCATGTTGGGAAATGTAAATGGTGCTGACATGTTCTGTCTCTCTCTCTCTCTCTCTCTCTCTCTCTCTCTCTCTCTCTCTCTCTCTCTCTCTCTCTCTCTCTCTCTCTCTCTCTCTGTTCCTAAATCTCAGCCCTGTCCCCAACACCTCTAGAAAACTTGCATAATATAGTAACTGGGAAACTATGCAGCCTAAATTTATGAAGGCCACACAGAAAGAAATGGCACTTCTCTTTTAAAAGGAATCCACGATTATGGTGGATCTTGTTCAGATAGAGTAGAGATTCCAGAGGACTCAGTGGAAAGATAATGATGGGCAGAGTGAGGAAAGGACAATCATGCTTTGGAACCCTTGTATAAGAGAGGACAAGCGACTATTGAAACACAGGATGAAGGTCACACAAGGTTATCTGCCTCTGTGCCCGGACAGGAACAGTGGCTACTGACTTGCTTAACTAAGGTGTGTTGAAGATTTGGTGTGTTCCTAACATCTTGGTCGAGCCCCTTGCTTCCTTAAAAAGCCTTTCTATGCAGGTCCAAGTTCTAACTATTCTTTAAGATTCCTTGACATTGAGTATTTGCTCACCAGAGTTTCAAATAGAACTTTGATTTTTTAAAAAGTGCTTTTCTTCATTGGTCAGGCTGCACTTTTTGTGGCCGTTGGTGGAATAAGCATTGGATTAAGGCAGGCCTAAGCTGCGCTGCAGGTGTCTGGAGTACGTGTCATTTTTTGGTTTGGTAATGCTTGGCTAAGTGTTCGGCACAAGTGCCAATTGCAGACATTACTGTAATGCAGAGTAAAAGCAGATAAATCAGGAGTCAGAAAGGCCATAAAAGATCAACCCATCCAAACCACAGTCTTAGCCTGTTCTCATTAAAACCATGAGAATAGGAAGGCTAGAGAAGTGAGATGTCATGTCAAAGGTAGAGATGACTGGTGTCAGAGGTAGGGGATCAAAGCAAACCTCCTAATTCCTACTCTAGGATTTCTCCTATTGCAGAGCTGCAGAGGTCTTTACTCTTAAACATAAACTAATGATGTAAACCAAAACAGAAGCCTTTCCTTTTTCAGCCCAGCAAAATTATGTCTGTGCTTTGGCCATTGCCTGGTGCCATAGTGTCCCATCTTCATCTTTGGCTTTTCTTACAGGTTTGTGATTACCCGGCCAGCCAACGAGTTTAATCTGCTGCCCTCAGATCTTGTATTTTGCGCTATCCCTTACAACACTGCTTATTACAAAAAGAATGATGCTTCTGAATCCCAAACTCAGTGTGAAATTATTAATGTGGTACCACTGGCACCAGAGATGCAATCACATACAAACTTTCCTTCTACAAGGGGCTCTGTGGAAGAGGGCACATCACAGCCACGGCATTCCCCAGTCCGCCTCTGAAGCCAAGACTGTTCTGAGTTTCTAAACTTCAGGAAGCAGTGCTGAATCAGAGTGGTAAACTGCCACTCCAGAAACTTCTAGATGAAAAAGTAAAAGAAAATGGAAAGGAAAATATGAAGGAACTTCTAAGTGAGGATGCTCTTCATAGTCCATGCTAAACTAGACCAATCGATACTCTCCACATGCTCTCAGCCTGCTACTAACAAAGCATCTCTAGAGATAAAGACTTCGAATCAGGAAAATAAAATGGAAGCATGCCATGTTTGTGCCCATTTCTTAGTGGTTGATCAGCAAGCTCACACTGTTTTGAAAGAGACATAACTCTAATCTTGTCCCACTGGATCTGGTATGATGAAAATATGAGAAATGTCATTAAAGAAAAGTTCATTGCTCTATTTCCCTTGAGCAGAAAATGGGTCAGTATGAACTGTACTAAAGAAGTCTTCCAGATGGAGATATGCTATTGGAGTTAGAAACCAATTTGTTTCTAATTAAGACCTAGGTGTATGCCTGGCACATGTTTAATAAGAAAGAACGTTAGAGTAGCATGGATGAAGTCAGGTAGATTGAAAGTAGATAACCTTTGAAATCCCCTAACTCAGGAATACAGATATCATTGCATGAATGGTTCACAACACTCCCCCCATATTCCATGTTCCAATCTACTGCTCTATAAATTTCATCTTCAGTCAAGTCATTTTATGTAGATATTATTCTGTTAGCATAATAAGCAAAAGTTTGGCACATCTAGAAAATAAATATTCACTCTAAATTGGTAGGAATCTTATAATGATGAGATTGGTAAGCAAGCCCTTCTTACATTATAGATACAACACAGGTAGGTAAAGAGAAAGAAAATTATATACCATATTTCTCATAAATTGTTTTGTATAACATTTAAGATATACCTATGCTATTATCATCTTTAATAATTTAGTATTCTGATCCCGGTTTCACAAAGGAAGAAATGATGTCACACATATGTCACTAAGTAAAATAGAACACATCCAGCTAAATTTGAATTTCAAGTAAACAAAATATTTTTAGTGTAAGCATGTCCAAGTCACTCCACTTACCTAGTAAGTGATCCAATCAATATCTAAATTTGGTTTGATTCTAGCAATTACGTATGTTATGCCTTCAAACATACAAAATGAAACAAACTAAAATAAATCATCATATGAAATAAATATTCTCATCAGTTAAGCTTTAATTATAATGAAGTAAACTCAATCTATGTGGAAAAGAAAATAATTATAATAGGAGCTTCCCCAAACCTGGGAAATCCTTTAAAATTCCTTTTGAATTATAGCTGTCATCTTCATCCTTCTCCCTTTACATAGACTTCCTTTGTTTTCCCATATTCAAAGTAATATATAGCTTTCTGCAATTCCATATTTATGCTTATCAAAAACTTAAGGGACTGTCTCTTAACACACAAATAACTAAATACACACCAATGGCCAATAGTTTAATGCAAAAAATATTTAATTTCCAATGCAATGGAGTAGTTTGAGCGAGAAATACTTTATTTTCCAATGTTTCATAGGGATGGGTGCCTAAACTATGGGATGGCTTCAGCTTTGGCCACTCCACTCTAAACACTGACAGCTGAGGAGCAGGTACTTTTAAACAGAGGGCTATCTCCGGGAAAGTAGGAAGGTTCATGGCCTAGGGAAGCCTGCCACTAGTCTACTAAAAAGGCAGTAGTGTTGCCTTTTCCCATTTTCTACCTTGGAAGTTTTATAAACATACCAGGCTTAGCAAAGACAAAGTACTTTTGAAAAAGAAATTCTGTGTTAGCACTATAGATTTCAAAATCTACAAACCACTGCTTTCTATATTTTGACAGATATGTTTAACCTCTTAGCTTCTGTTTCTTCTTTGCAAAAACTTCACAAATAATCTAACTTTTAATAGAATAGAACCATTAAAGTGAGAAATACTTTATTTTCCAGTGTTTTATAGCAATGGGTTTCAAAAATATGGCTAATGAAATATTAAGTGATAGCCAATAACTAATTCTTCATATTGCCAGTCTCAATAAATAAAATAGAGTCTCCCTAACTTAATTTCCAAGTGATTCCATAACTCCAGATTCAAACCCTTCACTTATAAATAGCAACATTTTATTATGAGTCACACAAGATCTTTTGGTAATATGATGGATATTTATTTTATAATATTTGTTTCACATTTCTTAATAGTAGAACCAATATGAATGGAACTTAACAACTCACAAACAGTACATGTGTTGATATTTATAATTCTTGAGGCTATAGCATTTTCAAAAATGTATATGTGCATATTTTCCATGAGATTCATCACAAATCAGCCTATATCCCATGCATAGTATTTCTGATCCATAATATGGACTTTCTGTAACCAGAAGAGTAGTCATAGAAAGAACACAGGGCAAGGAGTCAAGTGACCTGCATCTTTTTTTTTTTGGATATCCCATTAAAACTGCTTTCCTATCTCAGGGCAGTTCTTAAACCTTTCTCGGCTCACTTTACTGTTCGCAAAAGGAGAATGTTGAACTGAGATACTTTGAACATTACTTCTGTTTTGTTAATTCAACTGGCACATGCCTTACCTTACTTTCTACCAGATGCTGAGAACAGACTGGTGACCAAGACAAAGCTGCCTCCTTCTTGGAACACACACACACACACACTCTAGTTGGAAGAGGAAGCAAATAGGAAAGTCAGTGTGGTTAGAGAGTAGTGAAACAACCAGAGAAAATCACTTGGGGCAACCAGGTAGGACCTGATGGAGAAAATCTCCACTGACTGTGGACACAGATTACATTGTATTCTCACTGAACTGAGGGGCAGTTTAAAGGTTTTAAGTAATAAGGTGAATCATGTGATTTATATTCCCAAAGATCACACTAGCACTTAGGGTTTGTGGAGACAATTAAATGAATTCAAGTGGATTTCATCTCTGCAAAAAAACACTAAAAAATGCTTCATAAACTGTAGCAAAAGAATTTTGAAATATATACCATTTCTTACAAAAAAAAAAAAAAAGAAGGAATTCCCAACCAGAAGCAAGAGGACAGTCATAGCCAGTGAAGGTGTCTATGAGAGTCACGTGACTAGTGTGCATGACTATTTAGTCAGCAGCTGGGGTTATGTTATAGGAAGCCATAGGATGTAGATAAGCACCAAGAATAAATAACCATCAGCTGGGAAGGACCAGCCCCTCTGTGAAAGAGACAGCTGATTTCTTTCACTGGCCCAGAAAAGGAGCAAGAAATGTTATTTTTGCTTAAGAATCTGGGTATGAAAACACTTATCATGAGAAATTGAAAGCCCAAAGTCATATCACATGCAGTTGTAATAATCAAATTTACCATGTGTGACAGCAATGTAAAACAAGAAATAATGGCTGAAAACTCTAACTACAGTCCAGTGACACTTGAGGTGACTGGTTGGAAGAAAACAATAATCTTTACAGGGAAGATTTCTACAACTCAGAGCACTCAGGACTCCATCAGGAAAGAAGAAAAATAAGTTCAATACTTTCAAAATATGGACAACAAGTCTTAAAATCTAGAAATAAAAAAATAAAAGAGATGAGGAAATAATCCTCATAAATCAGATTCAGGAGACAAATCAAATAAGAAGGATAGCATGACCCCAGACTTCGGATAGTAGCACAATCTGAAAAAGATCACAAAATTGATATATTTAGTGTGATGAAAATGGTTAAAACTTGATTAGAAGTCAGAAAATAGGGAACTGTGAAAAAAACAACAGTCACACTTGAAAGAACCAAACTTCCAGAAATTGTTCATTAAATTAAAATGCAATGTCTGAATTGAGCAATAAATTAAGAATGGATTTGAGGAATATATCTAAAATGCAGAGGGGAGAGACTAAACAAATGAAAAAATATAAAAGAGAGGATTAAAACCTCGGAGTAAAAAAATGAAAAAGTGCCATATACAATTAATTTAATTTCTGTAAAGACAGACTAAGAAAAGAGAAAAATACTGTAAAACTTTTAGAATTAATAAAACATAAAAATCCTAAAATTTAAGAAGTTCCCTGCAGAAAAGTTAAATAAATTTATACGCACATATTACCATATCCAAAAACCAGACAAAAGGGAGGTTCAGAACAGGAGATTACTACTGATAAATTGAGAGATAAAAAAGATAATGAACCTGTAAAACCAAAACGTTGAGGAAAACAAGAGATGTAAAAGTCAGTTTATCATATGATCAAAGTTAACATTCAAAGGGCAGGATAGTAAAGAACACAGTTTTAAAGACAGAACATACAACATAGAGATTACTAAAAGAACTACCCCAGGGTGTTTTAGTAGGAAGAGATGGAAATCAAAAGATGGAGAAATATAGAAGACACAATGAAAAAAGGAATAGAAAATTATTGTAAATAGACTATAATAACAGTACAGTAGTAATAATTTGGGAAAGGTTAAAACCAAGTTAGAACTAACATAAAGAAATAATAGGGGATATGAGAAAAATGATCAAGTGAAATTATTCTAAAAGTGCAGCATTGCTCAGGAAGAGGACAGAGATAATGATTAATTAGCATAGTTGAGGCTGTGTTGAATGTAAAAGTTTAAATAATAAACTGAAAAAGAACAAATGGAAGAACTATGACTTCTAAACAAGTCAAGAGAAACTAATCAGGGCTGGGGATATAGCTCAGTGGCAAAAGCGCCTTCCTGGCAAGCATAAGGTAGTGAGTTCAATCCCTGGTACTGCAAAAAAAAAAAAAAAAAAAAAAAAAAAAAAAGAGAGAGAGAGAGAGAAACTAATCAGTAAAATGACGTAAAATGACATAAAATTGAATTCAAAAATGTTGACTCAACCCATAAGAATCCAGGATTATATTTTAGTAAACACTTTCAAGATGATACATAGAACACAAAATTTAAAACTAGTAATGAGTGTAAATACATGGTTTTCAATAGATATAAATGAGTCAATCTTGTTAAGTGAAGAAATTTTTAGGTTATATTTTTTTAAATGATATGCTATTTATAGCAGAGAATATGATTTAGAAAATGTGAAACTGAAAAGAAGCAAAGAGATAAACAGGCACTTAGCATGAGACAAAACCTATTTTAAAACAAAAATCATTGATAAAGACTATAATTGCTTTTTGTAATCTTATATGCAATAGCAAATTTGCAATATAGCAAACTATAACATTTCTGAACTTTTATGCACATTGCACGGCTTTAAAACACATAAAATAAATCTGACAAATTAGAAAAAGAAATTGCCCAAACCACAATCTTACAGAAGTATTTTAACATATTTTTGTCAAAAACAATTAAATCAACAGAAAAACAAAAAGTACATAATAGAGTAATATGAACTCCAAAGTTAACTAACTT